CAGACGACAATTATCCGTACACGTTAGGCATGCTGAGTATCAAATTATCGATCTGATCTTGGGGGATATTACACCACTCAAAAAGCAATGCTCTCCGAAGTTCCGTTAGACATGTAGGAGGAGGTTGACGGGCTGCAACTCGTCGGCCAAGCATGTCCCACATGTGCTCTACTAGATTCAAGTCAGGTGAGAATGCTGGCCAGTCCATACGGGTGATATTCTCCGATTAAAGGCATTCGCTTACGATGTTTGCACGGTGAGGACGGGCGTTGTCATCCATAAACACAAATTGTGCGCCCATGGCGCCCCGAAACAAACGTACATGTTGTTCCAGAATGACATCCCGATAGATTTGGCTTGTCATGGTTCCAATTTGAACATGCAGGTCAGTTCTGGAACCCAGAATAAATCCACCCCAAACGAGCACTCCTGCACCACCGTAACGGTGTCGTTCAATGGTGTTTTCTTGGTGGTAAGGGGTACCTGGAGCTCTCCATATGAAAGTCCGGCGAGAATCAGAATGCAAGCTAAACTTAGACTCGTCGGAAAACATCACACAAGCCCACTGTTGCGGTGTCCGCAATGCATGCTCTCTACTCCAGGCTAACCGCAGGCAACTGTGAGTTGCAGTAAGCGGAACGCATCTGACAGGTCTACGAACATATAGACCAATCTGCCCTAAGCGTCTGTACACGGTCTGCCTTGAAATTGTCGTTCCAGTGGCTGAAGAGAGCGGACGAGACAGGTCTGAGGCTGTGCTCCGCCTGTTTCTTTTGCCAGTAACTGCCAAATACCTGTCCTCATTCGGCGTTGTAACTCTGGGCGACCTGTGCTGTAACGTCTACTCACATTACCATCATCTTGGAATCGTTGCCAAAGCCTGGAGATGACACTCTGGGCAATTCCAAGTTCGTCTGATACTTCCAGTTGGGTACGCCCACATTCCAGACGCGCCGATAATTCTACCACGTAAAAAATCATCCAAATGCGTCCTTTGTGTCATAACTATTCGGTTATTGCACTGAAATGCTTACAAAGCGCCTGCGAACAATTTTACTTCTTTGCCTGTATTCCTCATATATCACTCTCTTACACTCTCGTCATTGTAACATACCATCGGTGTCATCTGGTTACTTCCTGAAATTTGCATATGATTATTGAAGATGTGTGTAGTGATTTTACAGGTGATATATTTATTTTAGAGTTCGATTTCCGCGTGACTCCGAATTATCCTTAATTTATGGACATGAGTGTAGTTTCAAAATAAGCATATCTTTAGAATTTCCGATACACTCTCGCGCGGAGATAAATTTTTTTCCGTATAGTGTTACCATTGCTCGCTTTGAAATCGATAAGTTTGCTTATTAAAAATATTTTAAATTTTAGAAAATAGGAAATAGGTAATAATACAAATTCCAAATTTCCAATTTGGGCTTCTATATGCCCATATTTGGGTGGAAACTTACATTATTCCAACTTTAATGGGTCTAGGTACCGCCGTTTTATCACGATGCATGAAACATACGTACATTTATGCAGATTCTTCATTATTTAATTTCTTTAAATATAATACAGGACTGTAATATTTGGTGGCAAAAGTTTGAAAAGGGAACTGACATTTAAAGTTTTCTACGCAAAATGCCAAAACTTAATTAATAGCCCTTCTGGGCTAATTAAATTAAAAAAGTAACTGAAATTCTGAAATTTGAGAAATAAATAATTCGTTAATAGAAAAAGAATTAAATATTCGAAATGTAAATTTATCTTTAATAATGGGTTTCAGATATTGATTAAGAAATTTTTCTCCATTCAAAAGACTTTTTTGAAGCGAGAGATTCTAAATAAAATTTAACACCATTAAACATTAACATATTACGATATATTTTAGAAAAAAATATAATTACTTTAAAATTAAATAAGCAACTTTACAAAAATACTTTAAAAAATGCGCTTGACTTAAATAAATAATTTATTTAGCAAATAAACATGCGAAAATTGAGGTTATGGAAATGCAATTCAAAAACATTTAAAAAACTGAAATTATCCATAATCTTATGGAAATAAAAGTACAACAAAAATATGCAGCGAAAGAAACATCCAACAATTTTATCAAAAATGCAAATAAAAACAAAAAATGCTAATATATCTCTGCATTTAATTCGAGCAAAGGTAAATAAAAATAAATATTGATTTATTTCAATTCAGCTTTAAGCCATTTTTACTATAAATTAGGCATCACGACGCAAACGAAACTGGAATATCGACTTCTTGATTACAAGTCATTAAACGAGGGAAGAATAAATTTACAAAATTAAAAAATAAATGAAAAAATTCCGGTAAGAATGGAGAACGACTTTTCTCTAGCAGTAATTCTTAAGTTGACATTTAATTTTAACACGTTTCGATACTTAAGCTAATATGTCAACTTAAGTCAGGAAACTTAATTACTCCATGAAGCCTAATTGCTCCCAAAACTTACCAAACATATTCTTTTTCCGCTTCTTTTTAGGCGAGGAAACAAAGTTCTAGTGAAGGAAATATTTTGTTTAATTAAAAGTAAGGTCTCTGATCAAAGGGGCTGCGTAGATTGAAGCTTTTATAGGGCTCCTCACACCTTCTTCTTTCGTCGCACCCCCTTTTCCTAATTAAGGTAGGATAAATTAGTGATATTTTCGATCGTTCTTGGAAGAAGAAAAATAAAGAAAAAAATCAAGAGCGGAAATATTTTTGCTTAAGCAGTTTATTAATGGAAGATTCTTGTAAATTCATTTTCTTGCTTTAAAGGTATTGATAATTTCTCTTCCGATACTTGTGCCTTCTGAAAGATAATAGCCGGACGATTATGCCCAAAGAATCTTAATTCGGTTCGATATAATCGACTGACTGTGAAGCAAAGTTAAACTGACGACATACATCATAGGACGTTTTTAAGTTAAAACTTACTTTCTCGATTTCTGTGGTTGCCTTTCGTGTTAAAGAAATTCCAGCATCAATAATCTCTGAAAATGCAGCAAGTGCGTGTTTAGCTGTAATTTTACGTACATAATTTGGCAATAAACCAAATAAATACATAAAGAAATAGGCGCTCATAAAAATGTGATATGCATCTTGCTGAGCTGTTTACCATAAGTCTTTCCCAATGAATGTAATATGTGGTGTCTAATAACCAGCCCTGCGCGAAACATATGCTAAATGAATTTTTTTAACAAAAGTCTTTTTTAACGTAATTGCAATAATGTATAATATTACCTTTTTTTTATTTTCAAGGCAAAAGTTACAAAGAAGTAGAGTCTCATAATCAGAGGTTACGAACAATAGAACTAAGAATTCGACTGCAATAGTTATTCCGTTCAATGAGCGCCAAACAATAGTAAGTATTTCAAGCCAATATTGGAAACAAAGGAATAACTAAACAACATCCCTACGCTGGTGAACAAAATTCTCTCCGGAAATATGAGGCTGCAGTATTAAGGTCCATCGTCCTTTCTTCAAGGTGATTCGATAACCTCAAAGAATTCAATAAAACCGAATCTACAGCAAACAACATGAGAGATCGCTCATCTACTAAATGTACGTTATTCAACTTCTTTACGGCACTTGACAACGACAACAAAAGTAAGTAAGCTTGACAAAGAACTGCTTCACGAAATCACAGATGAAAATGTTTAGATGTGATTTTGTCTTTTAAGAAAAAGGAGAGCAGAACGAAACTTGCAATGAATTGTGACTATGGATGAGAATTGAATATTTTACGACAAAGTACACATTTGTTTCAGTGTGTGGTAATGAAAGATCGCCCCGAAGGGCCTTTCACACTGGAGTTCATCCCAGCTACTGTTAGCTTCGATAAACAGAAAACACATTATTTGTAATTGGAAACAGCATCAAAAGTACATTTCCATTTAAAAAAGATATTGCTTAGTATGCTGGTGTTGTTCACAACCCATTCATTCCACTGAGATGATACAAACAGCTCGATATGTGCATTAGGTATATATGGCAAACGCATGGAAATTACGCCTCTTGTAACCAGTAATTTTGAGCAGACTAAGAGTAAATAATTATACAGTAGAGATTCAGAATAAAGTCTGATCATATAATGTAGTATCGACCATGCAAAAAGGCATCAATATGGAATACAACATTGTGTCTGATCATTCATACTGTCATAATTCATACTCCCCAACATATCGTTTCTTTCATCATTTTAGCCATTGCTAGTAAAAAAGAAAAGCTTTGTTAACGATATGTTAATTTATTGTCCAGAGGACGATTTCATCACTTTTAGAAGCGCTAAATGTTTTAAAAGTGGTATACATATATATTCTTGCCAGAGGTTGGAAACAATGCAATGATCCTGCTCGATATTAATTTCATTAAAAACTATTCTTCTTGCTGTTATTCTCCTTTTAACGCGAGTTATCTTTAAAATCGGCATTTGTAGCAACTTAATATAAAATATAACATTGTAGAGACATTAGGTATTTTTTTTTTTGAAGCAAGCAAGATGAAAAATGAGCAATCGCCTTCGCCGGGAATCGAACCACGGGCCTCTGGAATACCGGCCCAGCGTGCAGAACCACTACACCACGAAGGCACGCTAGGAAGACGGGAGGAATACCTTATAACACTTATTTATTAGAATGCAATTTAATTTTAATGCAGCTGGCAATACAAAGACAAATATCCTTATGCCATATAGTAGAGATCCATAAACTATAAAAAATACAATAATAACACAATAAAATAATTTACACAGAGAAGTCTGAAGCAGAAAGAAGTACTGCATAAAAAAAAGGAAAATCGATGAAATTATATATAAAATTAAAAAAAAAAAAAAAAAAAAAAAAAAAGATAAAGTCTTCAATCGATTTAAAAGGACTCTAGCCTCCCAGTATTTGGAATAAACACTGTTCTGAGAAAGGGCTGAGCAGACGAGGAGATGCCCAGCGTTCATCCGCACTATTGCAGCAAAGGGGACAGACAAAACTATCAACTATTTAGAATCTATGAAGGTGTGCATATAAACAGTCATGCATTGTATCCAGAACAAAGGAAGCTAGAGCGTTGCTTCTGGCGTAGTCTTGGAGATTATGGATGTCACTTTCCCAGAGAATACCTGTTGTTCTTTCTTTTAGTTGTGACAGATACTTGGTCTTGAAGATCACATTGATTTTTGACGATGCGTACTTATAACCAATCTGACCGTTTGAAAATTGAATAATATCGCATCCTCTCTTGGCTAGCTCATCTGCCTTTTCATTTTCAGGGATTCCACAATGAGAAGGAATCCACTGCAAACCGACAATTTTATGTTTTTCATACAACTCTCGTAGTAGAGATCTACACTGCATTACAGATGTAGAAATAGAAGCTTGGTAACTGTTAGCCATTTCCAGTATTGCTGCTTGAGAGTCTGAGGATATGGCAAACTGTTCTGAAAGGGTAGGACGAGCATTCACATGTGTCAAAGCAACTCCCATCGAATGCGGTCTTGTTAGTACCCAGAGAAAGATAGTGTGAGAAGCACTCACAGAAAGTTCAAGTTCCTACAACTCCATTTATATCAAGCTCCATTCATACCAAGCGTCAGGAGGAAAACCATTCAACGAATTAATGGAATATAGGGTGCTATTCGCAGATTATTCGCTGCGTACAGAGGACGTTTACACATTATTAGATCGATTTCGGGGCGGTTTCATTAATGTTTAAATTGTAAAGACTATGTTTCTGATAGTCTTTCTTTCCTGGAATATAAGTCTGTATCATGCTTTCCAAGGCAGGAGGGCTATTTGTAAAATTTTTAGATGCGTTGATTTTCATGCCCCTTTCCCTGCATTCCAGAGTCGATCTGTCGTGGTGGATTTTCACTTTAAAAGAGTAATTATCAGCAGAAAAAAAGCACGGTAGTTCTCAGAAGACTTCGTAGGAATACGTTGAAAATATATATGTGCGTTACCTGTATCAATCCTCATTTTTTCAATAAATACTTTGTGGAATGTTTCAAAGTGTGACTTATTGTTCTGTCTTGATGAAGTTTCATTCTTTGAACACCATCAGAATAAAGAAATGCAATTTCTTCTGTAAATATTAGACGTAAAACTTTCTTTTAATAGTACTTTCAGTTAATTTTTATATTTTTTCACTCTTCTTAGTATTAATTTCCAGTTGTAAGAAAATCACCTTGAAGTAATAAAACTGCAAGGAATTCAACACAATTCTTGCATGGAATTTTGTGGTTTAGCGATCATATACATAAAGTAATTTGAATTTCCGTTTTAAACATTATTTCTGCAACATACTTTACTTGCCCTAACTGCTTGTTCAGAATTACTTCTCGCCCATGCAACTCCTATAAGACTTGATTATCTATTCAAATTTCTAATGTAGCTTAAACTCAGATATGAACTTTTACATAATTTTAACAGATCTTAAAATAGTCTCGTCACTAATTTACAATGAAATTGTTTGCATGCATTCCACTTTCACTTCTTGAATCTGTACTATAAAAATTAAACGAGGAAACGATAAATTCACTGGTGATCCCCTGCTTAACATCGATGTTTAAAAATCAATACAGCAGAATGACAATAATATTTTCTAAAGTAACTAAAAATATATGAGTGTATTTTGTAGTTGTAAATACTCTTTAGCTGTGCTTAAATTTTGCTAATGATATTTGGGAGTCATTAGAGCTAAATAACTTTCAGAATTATATGTTTGTTTTGAGAAAATTTATAGCCATATTTTTAAATGGATGATATTTAACAATTACGGTCCATCAGAACACACTTTATTAGAAACATATTAATTGCCTAAAATATTCGCTCTCGATAAAATAAATACTTCGAATCAAATAGAAAGATTCAGATATTTTCGTTATTTCCTTTAGATTGCAATCTAACCTTATTGTAAACTGTAAGCTTCCTCTCATATTTTAGGATACAATTAGAGAGTTCAATTTAATTAATGCCTACTTAATTCAATGCATCTTTAAATTCATAAAAATGGCTAATATTTAAACATTAGTATTACTTTGAAAGAAATGATTTTGCTCACTATGTTTAAAATGCTTGCGTAAATAGTGGTTCATCTATATTAAAACAATGTTTAGCCACATATATGCGTACTATTTATGCATAAAATATGTGAATGTATGAACTGACATATTTATACAGAATAAATTTGCATGAAATCGAAATATTGTTTCTTTAAAATGTATTAATTTTCAGAAGCTATTCAGTAAAAATGCGGATGTTAATTTATAGCGTTTAAGTTCGAAATAGTGTGTTAAACTATTATTTTATTTACGAGTGTAAGGTATATTTTAATTTTATATAACAGTTATAGAGACATTAGGTAATTTTTGGAAGCAGGAAAAATGAAAAATGAGCAACGCCTACGCCAGGAATCGAACCCCGGACCTCTGGAATACCGGCTCAGCGTGCAGAACCACTACACGACGGGGGCAGGCTAGGAAAGCGGGAGAAATACCTTATATACATCCCCTTTTAAAGAGCGACTGGAGTTTTTAGGGGATCCAATCGCCGAATCCTGGGGGTGGAGAGTCATCATCCACAACCCTTTTAGTTCGGGAGCCACTGTAGATACATTCGGTATTTTTGGAAGCAGGCAAGATGAAAAATTAGCAAATGCCTTCACTGGAATTCGAACCCTGAACCTCTGGAATACCGGCCCAGCGTGCAGAACCACTACACCACGAAGGCACGCTAGGAAAGCGTGAGAAATTCCTTATACAGTTATTTTAATTCAATAAGCCTGTCCTATCTTATCTCGTTTCAACTTACAACTCCCTACCAGAATGAGTTTTTATTATCGCATTGATTACAAAAGAGGAAGATAATAATATTAAAATCAAGGTCAACTGACTTCGAGAGAGAGTTAATATTCCTAAGTTGAGCGCGTTTGCTTTTGGAACTACGTGTCTGCAATAAAATGATGATGTTGTTACGCTCGGCCGTATTTTGATAGTTAGCCGGCTAGTTTAAAATTACTGGCCAATTACATTAGAACTGTGTGAGTATCGGCTAAATTTCTTAGTTAGTCATTAGTTAGTTCTTATTTCTTAATTTTTGAGTTCAACCCCAAGTGAAGGCTTTGCTGTAAGCCCGAAGAAAGGGGCCGAATGTTAATCTTATTTTGAGTGAGTAAAGGGTAATTAACTCTTCTTTGAGTTTACGCTTTCTATTCTTTGAACTAAGGATTATTCTTTTAGCAGTTTGTCACGACTACTATTTCTTCTAATTGCTTCTGCGAACATCCTGGAGTCCTGAGTAAGAACAGAGAGTTTACTTTAAGCTATGTAGAAGATACGGCACAAATGTGAATTGTTTAATCACCCTGTATTCTTCACAGTTTACAGCTGTCCCGCATTTCCGGATACAAAGACCTGTACTTATGGTCTGAAACGTAAAATATAAGGACTAAAAATTAACTAAATTAAATAAGAACTAAACTCAAATACTTTACGGAAACTAGTAACGCGAAGATTGGTCTTTTAAACTTTACGTATGTAGTAAACAGAATACGAGAAACTACAATACGTTTGCAAGTATCAAAAAGAACTAAGTTCTGGACTGAAAGGCAGACAAGAACTGACTGAAAAGTGTGCGCGAGGTAAGGTAGCGAGAAGTCGCTTTCTCTTTCTTGGCTAAAAGCCACAACTTAAATACTTGACAGTTTGCAAGCTCAATTTGCATAACTAAATCTGTTCGAGTTTATTCTGGCCGGAAGTGGGAATAAGAGAGGACAGTAAAGTTTTAAAATAAAATAAACGTTAGTAAAACTTTAAAATCACTACAAGTTCACTAAGTTCTTCGACACTTAAATTAAAAGAATAAAAGTGATGAACTCTATAAGAATATAATCCTTCCTAAGAATTAAAACTTTAACATCGAAAGAGGAAAAACACCCCGTGTATACCAGATCTATAGCTATATGAATTGGAAGAACTAATATGGCTAAATTGTGTATAGGAATTAGAGGAAAAGAAGTTACTGTTAGTTGTTTTAATACTTTTTTTTTCACTTTAGTTTGGTGAAATGTTGCCCCTCTTATAGTGTAAGGCTAAAAACAAAATTTTTTTTAAAGCGCATCTTGCTATATGCGGATTTCGTTTACCGCTAAATGCCTTTTTAACAGTAATTTAAAAAGATTAATTGCAGAGACAAGACGAAAATTGCAGAGTATATCTTTAATTGGCATAGTATCCTATTGTAACTAGTCGCTGAAAGCGAACTTCAGAGAAAAGGACAATTATATGGCGTTCTATTGTTGCAAATAATTACGTTTTTTTTTTTTTTTTTTTTTTTTTTTTTTTTTTTTTTTTGAAAGAGGAAAGAAGTCTTCTTTCATGGAGCACAAAGGAGATTTCCACATTTGTATCAATGGAGGACAGAAATTAAATATTAAATCTCTGTGGGTAGTATGTATGATATGTGTCTACTTCATTTCTTTCCTTAAATCTGTGGAAATGGAAGAAGATTTGAAAATATTAGCAAATAACATTGAAATATCTGTGGAAAGAAATTCAGTAAGTGACATTTCAGGGACTGATCACTTGTGTGCAAGTGTAAACTTCTTATATTTAGAGAATAAGTTGAAAATCTTGCTTGCATTCGAATTTCTGTATCAAATTCAGTAATTTCCAAGAAAAATAACGCGATGAGGAAAAATGTTCGAGTAATGAAAAGCTAGTGGGACTCATGGTTATGTGACTAAAGCCAAGGTGGTTTTCGAAAAAGACGTTTCCTATGTCACTGATAAAAATGAATTTGCCCAACTGACAATGGACGCGTGATTCAAAGTACACAGCAGCCGTTCTCATCCTTTTGACTAACGCGTACCATCTAAACAAAAATTGAAGACTTTTAGTACCACCACTACAAAGTACTTCTACCACAACCACTCTTAAACAAAGCTTCACATCACATAAATTTACGAGTGTTGGGGAAAACACTCAATCTGGATGTTGGGTTTTAATTTTTGAATTTAATAGTTAAAAATATTTTGCATCTTTGCGTACCACCTATTTTTCTCTTGAGTACTACCAGTGGTACGCGTACCACCGGTTGAGAGGCCCTGGTGTACAGTATTTGAGGGAAAGTAAACATGATAAATATGCAAAATATACCTTGAAGTTAGAATAAAAATTCCAATTGTTAAGTTTTCAGTATTAGTAATTTTCCATTTGGCATTAGTGCTTATTGTTTGCGCTTACACAGTGATGCCATATATTTTTAAAAGATTTCAGGGTGTTGGAACTCTGATCGCCCTAGATAGAATGATGTTTAGCTGAGCTTAATCGCCATTCCGTACTTCTAGACTTGTTATAGTAGGGATTGGACTTCCGCGTAAGGCTTGGATGAATTCTCTTTCAAGGGTGAAACGTTTAAAGAGTGGAATACAGTACAGTCTTTCAAACTCCACATAATATGGACTGCGAGACTGTCAAGTTTCCGAA